TATATATGATTTTCACGTATTTAATATTAATATGAAAATAAATCTTGGTCGTGATGTATGATTTATGTGCTGTGGCTGTTGTATCGTTATTGTATATATGTACATGTATAATGTTTATATATTTACTATGTATATGTTATATATATGTGTGTGTGTGCCAGATTTTTTGCAGGTGCAATATCACGTAGTGTATGCAAAAGTATTCCGTTTATTCAATTCTCTTTTGGTCCGCCTTAAGATAACTTCCGTGATCTTAGCATATTTTTCGCGTTTAACCCGAAACGAGGTTTCATAACCGCCGCCCTTGCTTCATTCAGATATTTACATATTTTCCTACCCCTTATGTATTTATATATATATAAATATAAAATAATACGTAGGATAGTGGTGGTAGTATTCTTTATGATTTCTCTCACACCAAAACAAATCTCTTCCGCACATCCACTGTTTTGTAATATTCCATCAACAATAGTGCGGGTAGGTACTTGCAGCCATGGAAGGATTTCGTTGATTTTGTTTTGCATTTACATAAACGACTYTCCGCTTCTTAGCCCTCGTTAAAACAAAATTCCGAAAATAAACTAAAACAAACTTTAGGGAAATAAAATTATTTTTTCCGTAAACAGACTATTTTTTTTTATAACACTGTTTATAATAAACAATCATTTTATTCAATACTCAATAGTTGGTGTATTGATCAAATTTATATAATAATTAAACAGAACAGGGTAAAAATTTATTGCTCACTTYTGTATTTTTTCTTGCTGTGCTATGTACATGATAGATTATATATTATTGATATTGTAAATTTTACAAAAAATGATAATAAATTTATCATAGAGCAAAAAAAACCTCCGAGTAGAGCTCAGTGAAAACCACACTTATTAGTTATTGATATATATTTTTTTATTTTTCAAAATATAATTTAAGTCTTTCTTATAGAACAAAAAAAAATCATATTAAATATCCTATATTATCTTTGAAATAGATAAAATTTCAATCCAACGTACCTATAGCTTAAACTTTTGGAACTTTTTACTTATTAAGAATGGGCAAAAAAAACCTCCGAGTAGAGCTCAGTGAAAACCACACTTATTAGTTATTGATATATATTTTTTTATTTTTCAAAATATAATTTAAGTCTTTCTTATAGAACAAAAAAAAATCATATTAAATATCCTATATTATCTTTGAAATAGATAAAATTTCAATCCAACGTACCTATAGCTTAAACTTTTGGAACTTTTTACTTATTAAGAATGGGCAAAAATGTGTTAAATATCAATATGAATTGTTGTAAAGCGAAACTAAACGGTATTGTATTTATAGTTTCACTTATACTTTACTACAGTTTTGTAAGAAATATAAATTTGTTCATAATAATATATATTATACATTGCCCTACCTATTTAGTTTATTAGATATTGTATTTTTTATTAAAAAGTTTCGATTATTTGTTTTTTAAAATAGAGTTATATAGTCGTATACTTTTTATTTTTACTAAATGATTACATATTTAATAATTCATATAATTATTATTTATTATTTTCTATAACACTCATGTTATTAATTAATTCAAAATCATAAAACATACTCTATATTCATACATTCAAAAAAAAAAAAAATATATATAAAATTATTAACGTATATCCGATTTTAATATACCTATCTGGTTAGGTTTATTTTAAAACCATTCCAACATTGGACACATCTATTATTAAATTCCAATGTTCATAGAAAAAACTAGTATTTGGAAAAATTGTATTTACTATGTCCTCAATTAACTGTCTCGTTTGTTTCAAAATTGTAGCAGAAAACTACTGACGTTAATGAAAACTGCAATCTCGGCAATGCACATGGAACACGTAATTGAATCGTATATTGTGTATATTCTTTCCCCCAATAATAGTTGTTTTTTTTTTTTGCACATCACGTGAATTACGTTTTTGTGACGTATTGTTGCAAAAGCCTTTTTCCCCTGTTTCTCCCAAGAGTCGGTCWTGTGTAGCTTTCTCATTCTGTTTTTTATTTTTATATTCAAGACTCGTGTAAAGTTACACCGAGGGCTTGAAAGCCGAATGATACGCGATCCGGTTTGAACATTTTTTTCTTAGACAAGCAGCTTAAACTGTCAGTGACAATTTCTCTTTGCGTGACACTCGGCATTTCCAAGAAAAATCAATCAAGTTGTCTTGTCCTACATGTTTTAAATAATTGTATTTCACTGATTTGATTATCTGACAATTTAATTGTCATACACATCTGTAGGTACAGCAAAAAATGAAATCAACAAACTTTAAAAATGTTGGATTTATATGTCTTTTTGTATTTCGTAATTGGTTATAATGGTTAATTGATTTATATTTTTATAAACTTACTTTTTATTATGTAAAAAAAAAGCTGTTTTAATTCTAATCGGTAGTTAGAAGGTTTTATTGAACCATCCAATTTAAAGTAAATTAATTTTTGGTTGGTAAAATTGTAAATATTTCTCGTTTATTTTGATCATACAATTATTATTATTGTAAATTAATCTCACCTAAAAATCAAATATATTGCTGTTTGAATGATATCTAGTATAGTTTATAATTTATATTATATCAATATTAGCCCTGTTTTAGATTCTGAACGAAATGATGAATGTATTGATTTTACAATTATGTGTTTTTTTGTTTTTGTGTCTGTGTACAGCATAACTAGTCGAAATAATGCTTCA